TGATCGTGTCACAGACCACCCCACTTTTCTCGAAACCTCCAAGGGCTCCAGTTATCTCCTGATAAACTCTACACTCGGAGTGTGAGAAGAGGCCCTGTGTCGGTAGTCCTGCTGTGGGGGACCCCGACCTCCACGTTCCTCCCGCAAGGCGATTGCCGAGACTATCTCAGAGATAACGGGGGGGCCCATTTCACTTTTTTAAAAAATGGGGCGGGGGTGCGATTTGATCATGAATTCCATTTTATAAAAAAGCCTTTGGATAACTCTGGAATGTTGGTGGTCATATCTGTTCTGAGAGGGAGATAGGAAGTTGTAATGATTGAGAGCAGAAGCGGTGAGGACTTGAGCCAGAGATTGTCTGTAGGAATAAGGGGGAGGAGGAGAGGGAGGGGGGAAGACTTTTATGGAACTCTTCAGAAAGGGAGAATAAAGGAAAGAAAGGACTCAGCAGTTTCTGGCTTGGGCATCTGAGCAGATGGTGAGATTATTCAGCTAAAAAAAAAAAAAAGAAGATAGAGGGAAGAAGAGATTTGTGCGGGAAGACTATACGATAGTAACGAGGGGGAAATAGAAGGGTCCTGTGGTTAGTTGGAAATAGAGATCTGGAGCTCGGAAAAGACGTCTCAGGAAATGTCTGATTACTTTGAAATGTAGTGGAAACCATGGTTATTGATGGGTTTCATCACTCATTCAATAAACCCAGTGATTTCTCTTGGCGAGGAAAGGTCGTGCCCAAGATGTTGGGGGTTTGATGGTGAGCGAGCCAGACGTGGGTTTGGTGTTCTGACCCGTGTCCGGCTAGCAGGGGAGATAAGCACTAAGCATGCAACTATTTTATTACAGTTGGGATAAGTGCTAGGGAGTGGCACAGGTTCCAGGAACTCTTGTGGGGGGGTGGGTGAGTGGTGTCCGATGCCAAGGCAAGGGAGGCTTAGCCAGAGTGTGAGCCGAGCTCTCGGAAATGAGTGGGATGCCAGGCACAGCCAGAGGTGAGCAGTACTCCCGGTGGAAAGAACAGAATAGGTGGCAGGAGGTCTGCCTGGCGACAGCACCAGGAGCCAGGGGAAAGTGACACAGCAGGAGGCTTGTAAGGGGCCTGGAACCAGATTGTGCAGTCTTCTAGGGCAGAAAGAAAATGTTAGTCTTCGTCCTGATGGTACCAGGAGGCCAGTGGGAAGGTTCCCAGCAGAAGAGAGCTAGTCCTGGAGGAATGTGTAGGGGAAAGAGTGGAGGCCTGAGACAGAACTTCAGGTTGGGAAGATTGGCCAAGAAGGAGCTGAAGACGGTCATGTCAGGGAAACGGGGAGATGGAAGAGAGTGGTCATAGAAACCAAGAGGGGGTGGTCAGCAGTGCAGCCAGGAGGCACTTGCTGACTTAGGCAGGATGTGGCCCCCTCAGCAGGCAGAGACCACTCTCTCCAGCGCTTAAGGGGAAGGAAGGCTTAACTTGCAGAAGAGGACGGTGCAACCACTGCCGAGGCTGGAGATGCAGGAGTGTGAAAGGAAACACTTGAGTTTACCACCACCCCCAGCGTGAAACAGAGTCCAAGTGACCAAGTTTATGTAATTAATTTGATCATTATTGTTGCCCTGGCAGCCCTAGTAAGTTGACCCTAAGAGAAAATTTGTTGTATTAGGTGGAAGGGCATTCATTGTAAGAATAACTTGTGTGTTTTTTTTCATTTTATGTGTGGTTAAGTCTTGATGCCCAGATTATGTAAATGATTTTTTCACAAGGTCATAGTTAAAATGTTTGAGACTTTTTCTATAGGTTAGAGATTTTATTTGCTGTTTCTACTGGTTATCCAGGTTTTTATTTCAAGAATTGTGTACATTTAATATTCTAAAACAATGAAACATAGAAAATGTCCCTCTCCCCCCTTAAAAGCTACCATTAATTTAATTCTCTTGACAGGGTAAGCTCTGGTCCTGCCAATTTATGGATTTAGTGCTGTTTAAATAGACCAGAGCTTTCTTCTTTCCCCTATAATGAATTCGTTTATGAGGCTTTTTCTTCTAGACAGCTTTATGCCAGTTCCCTTTTTTACAAATTGCAACTTGCAGTTTGCAAATTTAGCATACAATCTTTAGACTTAGCTTAATGATTTTTGTTTTTAATTGCTATTATTTTGCGGAGAAACTTGTAATGGGTAACATCAAATTGTTGCAACTTTAATGACAGTTCCCTTGCTTTTCATTCTAGCCAGAGACTTATGGGCTATACTTAGGCCCATGGCCACTGTTGCTCATTAAGAACTAGCACCTTCATACCACTTAGAGGTTCAAGGTTGTAGGATCTGTCTTATGACATAGCAGTCACTTGGAATAGATGGAAGAGGGATCTATTTATTTCTCTTAACTGCAGGTCTACCCATTTTGTAACTTATAGTAACAGTTCAGACCACTTTGTGGGCCTGGGTCCATATACTCCTGCACCTCTTCCAGGGTTTTCAAAAAGCATTCTCCTTTACACGTTGATATAATTTTTTGTCACATATTAGGAAAGGCTTCAAGAGCAGATTATCAAGAAAAGTGCCTTGAGATCAGGCATCACTGTATCTTCCAGCTGTCTGTCAACACTTGGTATGGGCCTACCAATTATATAAACTGGTTAAATAATTAAGTTACCTGACAGTATGCTACTCTGTTGATTAATCTAGAAGGTTCCCAGGGCACAATTGGGGAATTTTCTTTTGTGGTGGGATCTATATAACATAAAATTAACTATTAAAAAGTAAGGAGTTTTAGTTGCATTTAGTGCTGTTTAGTACAATCACAACGTTGTACTACTATCACCAGCTCTGTATATTTCCAAACATTTCCATCACCCCCAAGAAAATCCCACATTCATTAACACTCACTCCCCGTTCCCCTCACTCCAGCCCCTAGCAGTCACCAATCTGCTTCATTCAATCTCTGTGGACTTGTCTCTTCTGGATATTTCATAAAAATGGAATTATTCATTATGTGACCTTTTGTGACTGACTTCTTTCACTCAGCATATTTGCGAGGTTCATCCACATCGTAGCATCAGTACTTTATTTCTTTTTATGACTGTGCTTCATTGTGTGTATATACTGAATTTTGTTTTGCAACCATGACAAAATTTTTAAATCCAGCATTGATGGCAATTTCCATAATAAATATATCATGGTTATTTTTAATGGTGTGCCATTTTGAGATTGAACATCTGTTTCTATCTTAAGCTTTCTGAGGTAACGCTTGGCTTTGCCCACCCTCCCTTGGGGAGACTATCATAAAAAGATGCTAGCTTTATTTTTATCAGCTCACTATCAGAACTTATGGGATCTGCCCTAATTTAGATGAATTTGATCTTACCAAAGAATATATCTGGAACTCTTTTTTCTAGTTCTTTCCAAAGGCTCAATTTCAGGAAATAATGTATAGAATACATATTCCATGTATTCACCCTAGAATATAGATCAAGATTGTAAACTACAGACCATAGGCTAGCTGCCTGTTTTTGTAAATATAATTTTTTTAATCCTCACCTGAGGATTTATATTGATTTGAGAGAGAAAGGAAGGGAGAAAGAGAGAAAGGAAACATCGATTGGTTGCCTCTTTTATACACTCTGACCAGGAATCCAACTCACAACCTTTTGGTGTAGGGGGTGATGCTCCAACCAACCGAGCAATCCGGCCTTGGCTGTAAATAAAGTTTTATTGGTGCACAGCATGTGCACTCATTTGCATGTTGTAAAGGGCTGCTTTCACTGCAATGGAAAAGTTGAGTAGCTGCAATAGAGACCAATCAGCTCCTGATCTTGCTCATCAGTTGTTTGTTTGTTTGTTTGTTTAAAGTGCATTTATCTGCATTTTAAAAAATTCATTTCAGAGAGAGAAAAGGAGAAGGAGAGATAGAAACATCAATGATGAGAGAGAATTGAGAGAGAATCATTGATCAGCTGCCTCCTGCACACCCCCTAGTGGGGATTGAGTCTGAAACCCAGGAATCAAACCCTGACCAGGAATCAAACCATGACCTCCTGGTTCATGGGTTGATACTCTACCACTGAGTCACACTAGCCAGGCATCAGTTTTTAAACGGAGTTCCGCCTTCCCCTATCCTCTGAGGAACCAATAGATGGGCTTAAATGTTCTGTGACAACCCTGAAATTATATGCAAAACTACATGTACATGTGTGTACCACATGTACCACATATGTTTTCCTAGAGAAAGTTCTGTGACTTTCATCAGATTCCAAATGGGACCAAACACCCAAAATGATCAACATTGTTCTTAGTAGCCAAATCGTTAATTTTCTGTGTTACCCTAGATCAGTTCTCAAACGTTTTAGTCCCATGGCCCCTATACGCTTTGAAAAATTATTGGGACCCCAAAGAGCTTTTGTTTATGTGGGTCGTAGCCATTGGTATGTTCCATATTAGAAATGGAAATGGAAAGTTTAAAAATATTTATATACTTAGTAATAATAAACCCATATGTATTTGCATTGCATTACCTTTTTGCAAGTTATCTTTAATGTCCAGCTTAATAAAAGACAGGTTCTCAAGTGTTCTGCATTCACCCTGTTGTGATGATAGCACAAGCTGTGCAGCCTCTGGAAGCCTCTAGAGTACACCAATGAGAGTGAGAAGGGCGGAGAGTGGCTTGGAATCATTGTGGAGGTAGTTGTGTCATCATGGATCCCTGGGGTCCTCAGACCATACCCGGAGAGCAGCGTACTGGACTGCACTGTCTGTGCTCCTGCTGAATTATATATGCTGTGCTCTTTTGGCTTCAGCATGCGCGGAGGGTGCCTTAAGAACAGCTCTGGAAGCTTGCCCTGCTGTTCGTTGTTGGCATCTTGGTGAGGAGTTGGTCTGGTACGAAGGGGACGTTGCGCACTGCCCTTTCATGAGCAGCCACAGGGGACCCTTCCTTTGGGTTTCAGTGCCAGGAGGAGCTGTGTCTCTTCTGGGCCACTGGTAGGTTTTTTAATCTTAGAAAAACAGATTTTCCAACTAGTCCTATTTTCTTCTCTGCTCTGGCAACTGGGAAGCTTGGAGCTTAATTTCCAGCTCTTGTATGTGGTGTGCATGTCTGTATCGTGTCCTTGGCTTTCTTATTTTCCTTTTCCCCTCCTCTCAGTTTCTTCATCTGTAGCTTGTTTTCCATTTACATATGTTTGTAAGTTACATTTTATTTTGTGTTTCTTTAAGCTGTCTCATCTTTTTTAAAACAAGATTGAGTTTAAATTCTCAATTAAGTAAAAATGTCCCCCTTATGTGTAAAGTATTAGCATCTTAGATTGAGTCCATTTTGGTTTACAGAAATTAGTGAGTCACTTTTATTCCTAGTATCATTTTAATCAAGTTACTTTAGATAAATGGAAACTTTACCATCCTATATCTGGAAGTATTAAGATGTTATTTTGTTTCATTATATACTATATATAGTACAGTTACTTGGCAGTTTTGCTATTTACTGCCTCACAGCCTCTGCCCTATTTTTCTATTTTATTTCTGTCTCATGTACACAGACATTCTTGCTATTAGTATCATATTCAATTAGTCGTAACAAGCTTTTTGTGCTTGCTTTTGGAACTCTTGTAAATTTTTTTCACACTATGCTTAATTGTGTGTGTATGTTTTGATCAATGTGGTACTGCCGATTTTAAAATGGGAAAAACTTTAAAAAAAAAGATGTTTTCGAACTGGGAATCCCTCTTCCCGTTCATTAGAGCCTGAAATTAATTGTAGCCAAAGAGAACAGTTGGGTGGCAGTGATATGGTCAGGCCTTGGGTCGAGTACCCAGCCTCATTTCATCAGGGGCCTCGTTATTATAAAGAGGGATTTACTGAGACTTAGGGAAAAATAAGGTGCTCATGCAAATTGAAGTGGGTAGAAATCAGAATGTAAATTTTGTATAAAATGTTGATTCTCATCATGTTTTGAAGATTAGACTTTGCATATCTGTTGCTATATAGATGCTGTCGTTTCAATTTTCAGAAGACTGTGAAGTCTTTTTAACTGACGAAGAACAAGCCTTTGTCTTCCTGTAATTCTGAAGTGAAGTTGAGTCACCCAACAAGAAAAAAAAAACTAAGTCCAGTTAAAATATAGGCATTAGGAATAGAATGCTGAAACAAACCTCTGGATTGGCTTCATTGGCTTTCCTGCTTCTTTTGCATCCCAAAGCATAAGCTTAAATCATCTCAGAAGGACAAGGTCCGCCAGTTTATGGCATTTACTCAGGCTGGCGAAAGAACTGCCATCTACTGCTTAACACAGAATGAGTGGAAACTAGACGTGGCCACCGACAACTTCTTCCAAAACCCGGACTCATTCCACAAGGAATCCATGAAAAACACAGTGGACAAGAAGAAGCTGGAGCAGCTGTATAACAGGTACAAAGGTAAGGGGTGACGGCGACAACAGGGCAGACAATAAAGAACTCGCTTGCATCCTAGGGAGCAGACAGTGTTGTTTCTTGAATTTCTGATGCTGTGTTCAAAAGACCTTCATCATGCTGTTCCTACTCTTCCTGATACCCAGCTGCAGAATCCAGTTTAAATGGAATTGTGACTATTAATCGATGTAGATTATGGGTGGGATGAGAAGAGAGCAGTCTAAAGACTGGTTGGCAGTCAGCTCTCCCTACTGGGATCACTAGTGGCAGGGGATCCATCAATAGTATAGTATCATGGCCAGGTGGCTACACCTGTGAATATAGTGCTTTTCCCCAAGCAGTTCCATCTAGGCTGAATATTGGTAGTGAGAAAGTTGTTTAAAAACAGTACCAAGAATGCCAGGCCAGTCATGGCTCAGTGGTTGAGTGTCGATCTATGAACCAGGAGGTCACAGTTCAATTCCAGTCAGTGCACATGCCCGGGTTGTGGACTCGATCCCCAGTGGGGGATGTGCAGGAGGCAGCCAATGAATGATTCTCTCTCATCATTGATGTTTCTGTCTCTTTCCTCTTACCTTCCTCTCTGAAATAAATGAAAATATATAATAAAATGAATAAATAAATAACAGTACCAAATCATAAAAATAGTTCTGATGTGTCTGGAAAAGTCATCCATCTCTTAACACAGTGTAGTAGTGTTGTAATACTGAAACAACTTCAGTTATTGCATGAGCTTTGGGAAAAGCTCTTACTAAAGAAACTTGTGTTGGAGCTTGGGAACAGTTGTTATTTTTATTGAAATCAACACCAAGAATGGGGCTTTCCATATCAAAATACAGCCATACTGCATTCTGGCCGGTTTGGTTCAGTGGTCAGAGAGTAGGCCCGCACCCAAGGAGCCCAGATTCCATTCCAGTCAAGGGTACATACTTCGGTTGCGGGCTAGATCCCTGGCCCCAGTTGGGGCGCGTGCTCGAGGCAACCAATCGAGGTGTCTCTCTCACATAGATGTTTCTCCCCCTCTCTTTCACTCTCTAAAAATCAATGGAAAAAATATCCTCAGATGAGGATTAACAACAACAACAAAAATACAATCATATTGCATAAATAAGTCTGCATTAAAAAAAAGTCTACGTGTTGAATATATACAGATTCAAATCACTTGGCAGGCTTTTAGATTTCATATGAAATGTCATATCTGTGCTGTGATGGGAGAGGCAGCAAGATTCAAGAGTTTATTGAGGGTTTTTTCTTCTTCTAGTAGTTTCTAAGGCAAACCCTTTTATTTCCCAAACGTAAAACAAAACAAAACAAAAAACACTAATTTAAGCAAGTATTAACTCAAACAGTATAACTCCTGTGGCTTTAAATTCTTGTTTATTATCTTCATGTTTTACTTTTGAGAATACTGTGTGTATATTTTAATCTGTCTAGATCTGAAGAATGGATTGAGAATTGCATTTTTTAAAAAATCTTGGCTCAGAAACATATTCTGTGGCTAAAAGAAGATTTGTACTTGTACTTCTTAAAAAAAAAGAACATTATTTTAAATTAAGCGTTAGTGTGCTTTAATTTTTTGGCTGTTAATTGTTGAGCTAATTTTGTAAGTCAGATGCTGTGCAGATTTTAAAATTATTCAAATATGTGCAGCTGCCTTTGAAAAAATACAGTTATATAAGTGAAAATTGTCATTTTTCTTTAGTTTAAACTTCATTCCTTCATTTAATATTATCCATGTAATTTTAGTTATTTAAAGTAGATATATGGTATAATCATGTGGGGTTCTAAAAATAAATATACAGTATTGTTCAAGGACAAATATAATGTTGGTTATGCATTAATATATACAAATGAATAAGTGCTTCTAAAGTTACTTTAAAATATACAATATTATTGTATATGAAATTTATTAAGATTGCTTATTAGGTGAGAGCATTGTAGACCAGTTTTTCTGTTATCCTTAAAATCTATAATGTTAGGAGCATAGAACTGAAAGAAAGACAAGTGAAAATGTTTTACAGAACCTTTGTCCTGTAAACCCACAACAGCAGTTATTTCATCACTAATACTTTTGAAATAGTATTAATAGAATAGAGGTGGAAGGATATTTTTGGTTTCATTCATTTAATCATCAATTTTTCTTTTATATATTTAAAATGTAATACATAGTACTTAAGTGACCAAAATTAAATCTTGTATGACAGAAGTTTATCACACTTAATCTTTATTTAAGTAAAGGAGCTACAGGTTTTCTGTTTCCACCTTCTAAACCAGGGGTGGGGAATGTCCAGCCCGAAATCATTTGGCCTGGCACTGCCAAGGCATTAGGGGTGAGTTAATTAAATGTTTGACCAAATAGAGCAGGCTAATTTTTAAGTTGATAATTTTATATGGCCCATGAATGATATAAATATCCAAATGGCCCTTGGTAGAAAAAAGGTTCCCTATCCCTGTTCTAACAGAATTAACACATACATTATCCTATACTAGAGGCCCGGTGCATGAAATTTGTGCACTGGGGGAGGGGGTTTGTCCCTCAGCCCGGCCTGCACCCTCTCCAATCTGGGACCCCTCGGGGGATGTCCAACTGTTGGTTTAGACCCAATCCCACAGGAAGTCACAGGGATCGGGCCTAAACCGGCAGTCAGACATCCCTCTCACAATCTGGGACTACTGGCTCCCAACCACTCGCCTGCCTGCCTGCCTGATTGCCCCTAACTGCTTCTGCCTGCTAGCCTGATCACCCCCTAACCACTCCTCTCCCAGCCTAACTGCTCCCCTGCCAGCCCGATCGCCCAAAACTGCCCTCCCCTGCCGGCCCGGTCACCCCCAACTGCCCTCCCCTGCCATCCCGGTTTCCCCTAACTGCCCTCCCCTGCCGGCCTGGTCACCCCTAACTGCCCTCCCCTGCTGGCCTGATTGCCCACAACTGCCCTCCCCTGCCAGCCATCTTGTGGCGGCCATCTTGTGACCACATGGGGATGGCCATCTTTGACCACATGGGGGAGCCCATCTTGTGCGAGGGTGTGATGGTCAATTTGCATATTACCTATTTATTATATAGGATAACAAAAGCCTAATATGCTAAGTGTCCTGTCGTCCAGTCATTCAACCAATCAAAGAGTAATATGCTAATGATATGCTAAGGCCACTCAACTGCTTGCTATGATGTGCACTGACCACCAGGGGGCAGACACTCCAACTGGTAGGTTAGCTTGCTGCTGGGGTCCAGCTGATTGGGACTGAGCGAGATGGGCCAGACATGCCCTGGAGCCCTCCCATAGTCCCTCCCTGGCTGGCCGACCTCCTGCGTCCCTCCCCGGCCCCAGTTGTGCACCAGTGGGGTTCCTCAGCCTGGGCTGCGCGCTCTTGCAATCTGGGAACCCTCGGTGGATGTCAGAGAGCCGGTTTCAGCCCAATGGTGGAACAGCCGGTCGCTATGATGCGCACTGACTGCCAAAGGGCAGATGCTCAACGCAGGAGCTGGTGCCTGGTGGTCAGTGCGCTTCCACAGGGGGAGCGCCGCTCAGCCAGGAGCCAAGCTTATGGCTGGTGAATGCAGCGGCAGTGGCGGGAGCCTCTCCCTCCTCTGCGGCAGCGCTAAGGATGTCTGACTGCTGGCCGTCGGCCATCCCCTGAGGGCTCCCAGCGAGAGGGCACAGGCCTCTGAGTGCACAAATTTCATGCACTGGGCCTCTAGTGATAATATATTATGATACACACGGTCTGTCTGAAATTACTAGATCTAGTTTGATGAGATCTTGCTGGGATTCTTCTTTTAATAGATTTTACTTTTTGAATTTCTGATAGGGAAATGCTAACTTTCTTAATTTTATTTCTAAACCAGAAGTGAAGGTTGGGGGGAAACCTGAATTTCTAAGCTGTTAATGTGGATGCATAAACTAAATGATTTTGAAAATAGGTATTGTATAGTAGCATTAGAACTATAGCAAATGAAATCATCGATCAGCTGCCTCCTGCACATCTCCTACTGGGGATGTGCCCGCAACCCAGATACATGCCCTTGACCGGAATCGAACCTGGGACCTTTCAGTCCACAGGCCGACGCTCTATCCACTGAGCCAAACCGGTTTCGGCCTGAATTTCTAAGCTGTTAATGTGGATGCATAAACTAAATGATTTTGAAAATAGGTATTGTATAGTAGCATTAGAACTATAGCAAATGAAATCACTTTTAAAAGAAAAACGGCAATCTTTAGGTGGGGTTGTGATAAAAACTTAAAATACTATGAATACCAATGCAGTATTTTTGTAACAATTTGCCATTGGGCAAACTAAAATTTTGTAAACTTGAATTTTATTTTATTTTAGGGAAATTACATTTTTTGTTAATGATTAAATCTTCTAAAAGAAGTTTCAATGATTTTTTTTTTCACTAACGCCCAGAAACCTAGACTTTAAAAATAGGAGTACTTGCTGGATAAATTATTATTTGTTGCTATCTTTCTCATAGAGTAGAAAATTACAGTCTGCTGATGTATTTGAAACAAGCTTTCTAGAACTATGTAGTAGATGATGATTCTAACATTTCAGTAATACTTTCCAAAATAGTATAACTTTTTTCCTTAATTTTAACTATAGACCCACAAGATGAAAATAAAATTGGAATTGATGGGATTCAACAGTTTTGTGATGATTTAAGCCTAGATCCTGCCAGTATCAGCGTTTTGGTTATAGCATGGAAATTCAGGGCAGCAACTCAATGTGAATTTAGCAAAAAGGAATTTGTAGATGGCATGACCGAGCTTGGGTAAGTAAATTGATCTCAGTTTAAATTTTTCATAAAGGAAGATACTTTCAACATTAATTCTTTTTCAGTCTGTAAATATTAATTTCATATTAATTTATTTTATTTGTGTATCTTATAAATTTTTTATGCAGCTACACTATATTAAGCCTTTGGTCTCCCTTTACTAGTAAATTCCAATTTAAGTTTTATTTCATAATCTTTTCTCAGATTAATTCCTTTTGTAATTTATTTTCTACTTTTTAATTTTTCCCCCCAGTTTTAAATTGACAGTAAGCATCAGGGTGTTTTTGTTTGTTTGTTTTCAGCTCTTCAGCTTATTTCATAATACTGTGTACTAAATGTATAGTTTATTGTGTTGCTATATTAAGCATTAATAAAATGTCGTTTTGATTTTTGCTTGTAATATTTCTCTGTTCTACCTACAAGGTTGGGATTAAAGCTTCATTAATAGCTTAAGATGTTTCTCACTTGTCAGATAAGTCCAAGAAGTAAATGAAAGCACATAACAAATGTCTTTTACTCATTAAACTTATTGAACTATTTCATGAGGTCGTGTAAAAGCCAACTTGCTTGACTTGCTGATATTCTGGTATTTCATTGTTGACAATTTAAACTAGCCTTTTTTAGCTGCTCAAGGAGCTTGAAAGCCTAAAGTAAACATGTTCTTAAGGCATGTGCTTCAGCATTCCAGGCCAGATGGGGGAATAGAGCATTCGTTTTTTTCCCATTAAACTGATGAAACTGTGATATTTGTCAGCCTTGTCTGTTTAAATGATAAACTCTACAAAACTTTGATTTGTAGTGTTATCTTACCATAACCTGGTGGTTTTGTAAAACCAAAAAAAAAAACAAAAGAGAACATTGTGACAATGGTGTAATAGTGTATTTTTTCATGTTCTTTGCACTAGGAAAGCCTAGATGAATTACTAGTACTTTAGAATGGAAAACAACCTATTAAAGAAGTAGTCCATGAGCATGATACTATACACTATCCTATCTGTTAAAAATCTCCCCAAAATGAGAGATTTGGAAATAAGTGCTTCTTATAGAAACACTTACTGGCATTTCTAAGACACTGTCTAGAAATATATTATAAAGTAAATGTTTTAAATTGTTGCCTGTTATCCTGTTAAGTGTCATAACTTTAAAAACATACTTTAAAGATTTTGAGTGTGAATCTTTGCAAAATGTGTTAGATATTTCATGCCCTCTTATATGGAGTATACAGAGTGTAATTTAAGATTACCAGTTAATGATAGTTAATGGTACTGCTGTCCACATTTCACAGGGAAGTTAAAGGTAAAAGCATTTTGTAAATATTAAAGTGCTATGTACCATGCAAAAGTATCATTCATGTGTTCAAAAAGTGTATTATAAAAACAATCTCATTGCTTTTAGGGATGCAGAGGACTGTTGGCTTCTAGTCTAAATAGCACTAAGCTTTAAAGTATACTTTGGCTTTTGTGTCTGCTCTGTTTTGTTGGGGTTTTTTTCACACGTTTTCCTGGCTGTTGACTGTTGACTGTGGCTAGAGTATCTGCCTTTAACAGTTCATCTTACATACTTTAATTGGGAGCTTGAGGAATCTTAAGTAGGCTGAGTAAACTTTATGAAATACCATGACATCTTTGTAAAATCAAAAAAATTGACTGTGTTGCTCTATTTCTGGGTTCTCTATTATATTCCATGGTCTGTTTGTCCTTCACCCAACACCACACAGTTTTGGTTTACCTCAAGCTTGAGTTTAACCAGACTACAGGGCACAAGGTCAGCAAACAAAAATTGATATTATTTCAAAACACTGAATGTAATAATGAAACAAAATAAAATGAATTTTTTAAAATATCATTTCCAGTAGCATCAAAAATACAAAACACCTAGGGTAAATCTAATTTAATATGTGTGCTGCCTCCATAGAGAAAACTCACTGAGAGATAGGAAACCTGAATAAATGGAGAAATATACCTCATTTATAGGTTGTAACACTTTCTGTTTGATCCCTAAATTTATCTATACATTTTATATGATCTCTAATAAGTAGTAGGTTTATGTTTGTAATTTGACAAGCGGATTTTAAATGTATATGAATATGCACGGTCAAGAGTAGCCAACAATTCTTAAAGAAAAAAAGAACAAGGTGAGATTTGCTCTACCAGCTAGTCAGGACTTCAAACTATAATAACTAAGACTATATTGAGCACCACAATAGATAAATATACCAGTGGAACAGAATGGAGGGCCCAGAAACAAATCCATGTATACAGGTACATTGGATTATGGCAAAGGCAGCACTTTAGGAAAGTGGAGAAAGAACATCTTTTCAGTAAATGGTCCTGGGAGAATTGGCATATGGGAAAAAATTCATCTGATCCCTACCTCACACCACACATAAAATTTTAATGGAATGTTATATGACAATGGAAATGAACCAACAATCCAAGTGGATTGTAGATCTCCATTTGAAAGGCTAACGGCAGAATCCTCTAGAAAATAATGTAGGAGAATATCTTTATGATTATTCAGTTGGGAAAGTTTTAAAATATCACCAAGAAAACACTATAAAGAAAATGGATAAAGTGTACTATACTAAAAATAACAGCTCATCAAGACACATCATCAAGGAAGTGAAAAGGCAGCCCATATTTTGAAGTACTTTGAAAATACTTAACTGACAAAGGCTTGTATCTCTGATAAATAAAAATCTCCTATAAAACAATAAGAAAAGGATAACCTAATTGAAAATGGGCAACAGACTTGAACAGGCACTTCACAAAAGAGAATTTCCAAATGATCAGTGAAAAATACAAGAATGTGCTCAATCTCATTCATTGGGGAAGTGCAAATTAAAACTGCAATGAAATAGAACCTCACAACCCACTCTTTAGAGTGGCTAAAATAAGACAGTCACAAACATTAGTGAAAATGTGAGGCAACAGGAACTCTAGTGTACTGCTGGTGGAGTGTGAAATGGGATGGTCACGTTGGAAAACTGTTTGACATTACTTATTAAACTGAAGGTGCACAGACCCTGTGAACCCAGCTGTTCTACTCTTGGGTGTGTCTAACATAACACATGCATATGTGGGCCAGGACACATGTACAGAACATTTTAAACATTCTTTGTAACCAGAAAACTAGAAGCAGCCAAAATATTTATCATCAGTAGAATATATAAATTATAAAATAGGAATTTAATGGAATGCTATATGACAATGGAAATGAACCAACCCCAGCCACACTGTCAGCATAAATGAGCCTCACAAACATAATGCTGGCACAGAAAGCCAAAGACAAAATAATACTTACCATGAGTTCCCATTTAAAAAGTTCAGAAGCAGGGGTAACTAACACACTGCCAAGGAGTGCTTGTTGGAGTGATGGAGGCATAAAGAAGAGCGAGGAAGTGGCCACGTGGAGGAAAGGGGTTGTAATGGGGAAGGGCACACAGCCACACCCCAGGTGCTGCTGCCTGCTGGTTCTCCATTGGCTGGGTGCGGGGCTGGGGGCTGTCCGCAGCACCCATGACAGCCCTTGAAGTTGTGCCTTTGTGCCTCTGAGTGTATTTATTCATGGACTTGCTGGTCTGGATAGTTCCGGCCTCTCCAGGACTTGCTCAATTGTCCTTCCTCAGCCCCGCTCTGCTTGGGTGTGTGGATAAATGAAGTGTTGCTTTTGTTCTCTTCCTTGCTGTGCAATCAAGATAAAAACGACAAATTTTATGTTTTGCTATTTTAGATTCTGCTTTAAAGACTTTTTAATAGCTTAAAGGTTATTGACTTTGGAAGGCAAATTCAATTTTAAAACAATAGAGTTGTGTTTCGTTATACTTGGATATTTTAAATCTAACCCACTGTAGTGAAGAAACCCCTCAATATAGTAGCTAAAGTGCCACAGGTTTATTTTCCTTATGTAGGGACAGGATAGTGGTAACAGTGGTATGGGCTGGGAGAAAGTGGGGTTTGTCACTCTGTCATCTCGGGGCATTGGCCTCTGTTATTGAAGCTGCAGAGTTAAACCATGTTCCTGTTCCAGTTTACACAGAGGAGGGCAAGCAATTTTGTATTTTTTCTTTTAATGACAGCTTTATTAAGACATCATTCACATGCCGTACAATTCACCCATTTACAGTGGTTTTGGTGTATTCAAAGCGCTGTGCAGTCATCACCACAATGAGTTTTAGAGCATTTCAAGGCTTTTTAAGGCTTTTTCGCTAGAGAAAGAGGCCCATGAGAATTCCACCTACCCACCCCGCTTTGACCCAAGCCTCAGGCTGCACCACATCACAGTGAGGCTGAGAACTGCTGGGGATTGGGGAGACCTGTCTCCTCCCCTTAACAAAGCGCTCTCGCTCTCTTTCTCTCCTCTCTCTCTCTCTCTCTCTCTCTCTCTCTTTCTCTCTCTCTCTCATCACAGGTGTGACAGCACAGAAAAGCTGAAAGCTCTCCTACCAAGATTGGAGCAAGAGCTTAAGGACACAGTGAAGTTTAAGGATTTCTATCAGTTTACTTTTACCTTTGCTAAGAACCCTGGGCAAAAAGGTTTAGGTGAGTATAAAATCCAAATTAGTAAAAAGCCACATCTTGAGACTACGTGAACACGATCAACAAGATTTCAGTCCTGCCTGCTGTCATGTTGTTATCCCTCTTTGCATTTTTTCCCCTTTGCATTGCTTTGTTCCATGTGCAGCTAGACCAGTTTGTAGTACCATATACTTGAATACCTCAACCAATATTACTCTCAAATTCTGGGTTTAAATTTTAAAATGTAAATGAATTTGCAAATGCTCTGTGTTCTCTCATATTGATATCTAATTGACTAATGAGTTAGAGAGGTCAGTAATTAATGTCGACAATGGGCACGTTTGTACTGGCCAGGTGTGTGATCCCGCCTGTGGTGTTTCTAAGATGGCCAGGTAACATCAGTCTTGTCCTGGTCTGGAGATTTAAACTAACTTACTTGAAACCAATTGTGATGTGCATTGGATTGCTTTAGTACAGGCCCACCTCGTTTTGTTGTACTTTACAGATACTGTATTTTTAGTAACATTGAGGCAGGACCCTCCACCAGCAAAATGATTATGACTCTCTGAAGGCTCAGATGTTGATTAGCATTTTGTAGCAATAAAGTATTTTTAAACAAAGGTGTGTACATTGTTTTGAGGAAGTATAATGCTACTGCACACTTAATAAACTATAGTATACTGTAAACGTAAATTTCATATGCACTAGAAAACCAAAAAATTTGTGTTACTCGCTTTATTGTGATATTGGCTATATTGTGGGGGTCTGGAACCGAACCTGCAAAATCTTCCAGAGGTGTATGACTTTGTTATAACTTGTGTTATTACTGTGTATGGTACATTCAGAAATTTTTTAACCTGAAATTTTAGTTTAATTTTTTGTTTATTTGAAGGTTTTATTCTGCTTATTTTCTTTCTTTCTTTTTTTTTCTTTGTTTGTTAATCCTTACCTGAGGATATGTGTCCCATTGATTTGTAGAGAGAGTGGAAGGGAGGGGGAGAGATCGAGAGAGAGAAACATTGATGTGAGAGAGACAGGGGCCAGGGATAGAATCTGCAACCAAGGTATGTGGCCTTGACCGGAATCAAACCTGGGACTCTTCGAGGGCTGAATCCAACGGAGCCAAACCAGCCAGGGCAGTTCTGCTTATTTTCATTTGTTTGGCTCTAAGTACTATATAGTTTATTTTTGTCTTTTCTCTTTACAAAAATAAATCTATATTGACCTACATTTTGTTGCCTAATGTAACAGACTTATTTATGTCTCATTCATTAAAATCTCATAAGTTTGGAAGGGAAAATTATATAGGGATTAAGCTGGTTTATTAGAAAGTACATTTTTAAGAAAAGTTTTTATAAATAAAAGCATTATTATAAGATGACAAAAATTAGGTAGAAAACCAGAAAGGGACTTGAAAATTCATAGAAAAATTGATTGTAAGCATTTGGTCTCAGGTCCTGATGTTCACTCATGAATGTTTGCAGGTGTGTGTGTAGTAGACATTCTTACTCTGTCTGACGTTCTTTCCTTCTATCAACAGATACAGGGCAGGTGCAGATTGAGGCAGCAGGCACTTCTCTGTTAGATCAGGGAGATGGGCAGGAAGGGGGCACTTAAGGACTTGTGTTCTTCAGCAGGAAGGGGGACTAAGGACTGTGTCCCACCAGGAAAGGGGCACTTAAGCACTGTTGTCTCATCAGGGAGGGGCACTAAGGACTGTGTC